ATCATCAAATTGACCTGCCTGCGGGCAAAAGACAGATCTGTGCAAAATTTTAGCTTCCTATCTTTGTTTGTTTTGCCTATAGCGTGATTACAACAGAATGACAGACGGACGGACGGACAGGGCTAAATCGTCTTGGATTTTTACGCCGATCAAGAATATATATACTTTGTTGGGTCTTAAATGATTATTTCGATAAGTTACATACGGAATGACGAACTTAATATACCCTCCATACTATGTATGACATTATGGCCATAATTTTTATTTTTTTTTTTTTCATTTTATTAAATGAAAGCAAAAAATGTCGGCGCTTGCTTGAGGTGATTGACACTTTGGTATTTTTTAGTGCCAACATAGTCTTCCCTTTCCAAAATACTCTAGACACAATAGTACAACGGATTGGTATTCGTAAATTTTGGTGGCCATTGTGCGCTGGAAATGAAGCGAGGAACCTCATTTTGTGACCATTCTTGGGTGGCGTGTGCTGAGTGCCATGGTGCTGAGTCCTGTTGGAATGTTCAAGGTCTGCAGCCAAAATGGTTGCGAGCTCAAGACTTTAATACACCCTCCAAAATACTTTCGCGATAATATTCGAAATTTATTCTGATTCCACGCTCGATTAATACGAGCGGAGAACGACCATCGGCTGTTATGGCGGCCCACGCTATCACCCTTGCCGGCGCTTGAGTTCTGGTGGCCAACTGAATGTGGACATTTGCAGCTTACCTCTTTGGCAAGTAAACACGATCGAATTCGGCAGTTGAAAACTTTCGGCCACGCGAAACAACTCTATAGTATGGTCTTGCACTTTTTGGAATGTCAATGGCTTTACCCCGAACCAAATATAAAGAAATCACACTATCACGCTTAAATTCCATCACGAATAACTTTTTTTCTGGAAAGTTCTCACCAAAATGCCTTTGTACGCTTGTAAACAATATAATGGAATAATTTTAACAGCTGTCGGACGAGGGGCATATAAATGTCAGCAATCCGAAGTTGGTTGTAATTTTTTTATCTTACCCTGTATTTAGGGATGTTACAAACGGAATGCCAAAATTAATATACCCCCCTTTCCAAGGTGGAGGTTATAAAAATCGTTGAATCATGTAGTTAAAATACCGAATATAGGGTAGCACTATTATATGGGGGCTATACTAAAACGTGCACCTGCACATACAATTTCTGTCATAGTCTGTAGTCTGAAACATTGTTCAAATATCTGCAAAATGTCAGCTTTGTCTGCTGACACTGATGTCAAGTGGAAGTCCGTAATAAATACCATTAATTGCCAACATAAATAAAGGTGCACATCCGCCACCCTCCGGCTATTTCGTGCCGAGTTCAATGCACGACTCTAGCTGATATACCCAACCCGGACTAATTGAATTGCGTTCAAGTTACAAAGTATTTGCAGTTCTATGAAATGTTTACCTCTGGCATCGCCCAAGTTTATTTCATCTTAACAACTCGTTTTTTTTTTGTTGTTTATGTCGTCTGTTTGTGAACAGCGTTGATTGTGTTTGTTTGCGTTTTTTTTTTTCAGCTTCTTTTGCTCACTGTGAAAAAAACAACAACAAGTCAGTTTACAGGTTGTTGTCATAGACCAAGTACACCACTCAACATCAATAGTACATGTACATAGTTTATGTGGTATATTTTGTGTTCTTTTCATTTTTTGAAAGGAAAACATATTTTTTCCGCTATGGAGAAAACTTTTTAATTCTTCTGAAGCAATGTGGGAAAATGAAATCAAAAATATTTTATTTTTCTGATATTCCTCTTTAATTTTTTTATTGTGTACTTGTTAATATGTGTATGTGTGCGAAAATAGCGGTAAATGTACTTTTGCAGTTTATTTAGTAGTTGGACTCCGCCTTGTACATCCTTTTGGTTTCGTATTCCACACCCTTAAGTTTAAACACCTTTTAACAACCGCTCTATATTAACCAATACAAACAACAACAAGGCGTATCGTTCATTAAAAAATTCAACAAAGTCGCCGATGAAAAGGTGATGTGAGGGAATCGCCGATAAAAAGGTAAGGTGAGGCTTGTCGACTTTGTAGTTTCGCGGAGTCTCAAGCAATTTTAAAATGCACAAACAGATCCGTTAATCGGAAAATGAATCAAAGAACTCGGATATGTGTAATTATTAATTCTTCGGTCCTTTCTTCCGTTGTAAATTAACTGAAAAAGGAAAGGGCGTAATAGTCAAAAGCACTTGCACCTGCACTTCTGCAAAAATAGGTATGAACACTCTCTAAAAATATATTTTCAAGAGAGAAAGCTAAGTACTTAAGAACTCCATATTACTGAATAGAGCTAAATTCGGCGATTTTATTATTAAAGAAGAGAAAGGGTGATTTTTATACTATTGCAATTTTAATCAGAGAAAAATACCAAACTTCGTTCAATTGCAACAATTACTAAAATGGCCAACATTTTGAAACTTCAAATAAATAAAAAACAAACAAGTAAAAAAGCTGTAAGTTCGACCGGGCCGAACTTTGAATACCCTCCACCATTGACAACTCTTAAAAACAATAAAATCCGTTAAAAATTCGGTTAAAATCGTAAAAATACAGAATGTAGTTGTTGTATACAACATGGACCTCCATAGGTAACATTTATCATAAGCCATTACAATATTCAAATGCGAAACTTAAAAAACATCGGTAATAATGTAGCTAAAATAATCGAAACACCGAATATCGGAAGGTACCATTATATGGGGGCTATACGAAAACGTGGACCTACACAGACAACCTCCTGTCATAGGCTGTAGCATCCATTACGAACATCAAATACCAAATTTTGAAACAATTCCGGTGAATAATGTCGCTAAAATCATAAAAATACCGAATTTTGGGAGGTACAGTCATATGGGGGCTATACGAAAAGGTGGACCTACATGGCCCATTTTCAATACCAAAACTCCTGAATTAAGTAAAATTTTATCAATCTTCTTCATTTCGTTCGGAAGCTAGAGTGATTTCCACCATCGGAGTTATTTATTCAAAGGAGTTATTTTACAGTGATAGAAAATTACCTATGATGATCCACATCTTCCTATATCTCCTATATAATCTTATTTTCAATATTCAGTATTTACCGATTTTTCCGCGCTTCTGTATAGTCCTCTATATAACTGTACCATCGATAGTTTGATGAATATAGAGGCATTTTATGGACAGAATTTCTGACCAGTTGCAAGTTCCTTCCAAATAGTGGAGGATATTAAAATGTCAGCCAGGCCGAACATATACACCTTTTTGTAACGTTTTGTTAATTTTATGTACACTATTTCTGGTACCTACCCACATATGGTAAAAATTTAGAAAAGTTATAAGCTACATTTAGTGTAAGCTAAGTTCATGATTAACGTGCACTTAGCACATTTCTGAATTTATATGAAACTTAGAGAGGGTATTAAAAATATATAAAAACCAGTAAGGAAAGGTCAAAAGTCGACTATATGATGCTCTACACCACTATACGTATTTAGTAGAGCTTCCATAACAAAAAGGCTTATATTGGGAATTTATTGAAGTAGATCATGTCAACTATGAACCAAGTAACATTGCTGTATAGTGCATGATATGATTGCTGTATAGTGCATGATATGATTTCGATAGGGATTAATTTAAAAAATATTTCTTGGAGCAATAGATATACCGGACCAAGTTTCATCAAAAGGTAACATTTTAAAAAATTAAAAAATCGATTCAATTTGGGCTGATTGTACATGCATTGTGAGCAATAACCGTTAAATCGGATGAAGATGTATATCGAAGCTAATAAAAATCTGAACCAATATCGATAAAATTTGGCAGACGTATTTTCGAGTAGTATCGGTGTCAAATATCATTGACTTTGACACCAAATCGGATGAGACTTATATCTGGGAGCTATAGCTATGCCTGCATCGATTTTCTCCAAATCTGATGTACTTGGTTCTAGAATTAATTCAGTTATTCAGTTCTGATATCTGGTACCCAAGATCTTTTTGTGGAGTGCATAGTGCTATATCTGAACCGATTTTGATGATGATTATCTTTAACCCTCATGGATCTATTAAATGTTCCTTTATATATATAGACATAATGTTACAAAAAAATAGTTTGTCTTGAAATTCTACTATATGTCCCAAAAAGGTCCAGAACTCCAGAATTTGCCCTAAAAGCGTCAACATCTAAAATATCCTTCATCAAATTTCACCATGTATCGCCGAAGAAAAGAAATCTCTAATTATTAATATATACGCATTCTTGACATATTTAGCACTTTTCCGATTTCGCTGCAAATTGTCTTCAATTACACTCTGCGGTGTGAGAAATTCCGAAGGGATTTCAAAGTAATCGGTTACTTAACCAAATTCCCAAAGGTTTTCATATCTTATGTAAAACTTTGTCTACGGACTTTATGCAGCCTTAACCATATAGAGGGGTCCCAATGTTTGAGCTAGATTTCAAAAGATTTAAGATATAACTCTGATATTTGAAACATGGTTCCTAACATGGGTCTGTCGATCAACTTATTTTCCTATATAAGGGTGAATTTTCATTTAGCTAAGTTACCTCCTAGTCTTAGTTCCTTGTGGGTTATTGCTTCTAATGGATTTACCTTTCAATATAAGCTTCGTAGTAAATTTTAAATGTAGGTCCATGTTTCGGAGCTGCGTCCACATCTAAGTATCTTCTGATTTAGGTACTTATATATATCGGCCTAAGTCGATAAATAGACGGTTATTTAATAGAATTTTAGTCAACAAAAATAACTGATTGTTGGAACGTGCCATCCTCCATTTCTTCAAATGAGAATGACATTTGGTGGGCTGTGTAAAGTTTCATTTTTTTCGGGCAAATCTATGATGAGCATAAAAAACCTAATTATATTTCAATATATTTTAATATGTGTCCTAAGATAATCATAAGAATTCCATCTAATCACAGATATGGCTTATGATAAACTTTCCCTTTTCATTTTGATTCATTTCAGTTGGTACACCCACAATGGACCTGGCCCCCTGCCTGTCTTGAGCGGTCCGCGGATACGTTTGCTGGGACCCATATTGGCAATTGAAGCGGTGACGGGTGAAGACTCAGGTGTCTACAAATGTACGGCAAGCAACGTGGGCGGTGAAGCCAGTGCTGAGTTGCGGCTCTCGGTGGCAACACCCATACAAGTCGAAATTCAACCAAATATTCTCAGTGTTCATATGGGTGGTACGGCCGAGTTTCGCTGCTTGGTGACCAGTAACGGCAGTCCGGTGGGCATGCAGAACATACTTTGGTACAAAGATGGCCGTCAATTGCCATCGTCTGGCCGAATTGAGGATACCCTGATTGTGCCACGAGTTGGTCGTGAAAATCGTGGCATGTATCAATGCGTCGTTCGTCGTCCGGAGGGTGATACATTTCAGGCTACTGCTGAGCTGCAATTAGGAGGTAATCTCACCATTAATTTAGCTTATGTCCATTAGTTGGTATCCGCTGCTGTAGCTTTGTGTGTGCTTACCAATTCATTCCCATTTCATATTTTAGTACTGCCGTCCATTCGGGTTTTATTTGTTTTGTTCTTATTTGTTTTGCTTCAACGTTTTTTTCTCTTTTTCTCTCTGTTTACAGATGCCCCACCCGTTTTACTGTACAGTTTTATTGAGCAAACATTACAGCCGGGTCCGGCAGTAAGTTTAAAATGCTCGGCAGCCGGAAATCCAACGCCGCAAATTTCATGGACACTGGACGGTTTTCCACTACCATCAAACGGAAGGTAATTGAACTTTTACTTGAAGTTGCCACATTGAACAGGAAAAAAAAACAAAAACAACAAAAAACACAAAAAAGCATCAACAACGGAGAGTTGGAAACAACAACAACAAAAAATTGTACAGCTATCAAAAAATCCGTCGAATAGCAAAACAAAAACATGTTATTTGTATTCCAATACACAAATATTTGTGCAAATTCTACTTTGGCTTCTCAATTTATTCGCATAACGTTCCAAAACATATTTTACTTTAAATAAATATTTACGCTGCGAATATTTTATGGTTAACAAAATAAAATCCCAGTATAGAGCGATAGCTGCGACATTCCTTTTTTGGACTAGAAATATTTTGACACATTTCATATTGAATGGAGAAGCTTGAAGTTCTCTGCCATTTTCTGTTCAAAAGTAAGCAATCAAATAGTCCAAAAAGACTGAATTCGAATGAAATTGTTTTAGGTCATTATTTATTATTTAATAATATTAGTAAGGATGTATGCTGATCCGTAGTAATGAAGGAGCAAAGTGATGGCTGATTGATTGTTTCATTTAAGTACGGACGAAGCAGCTGAAGCTTAAATCATAAAAATTAATTTAAAATGCATTATAAAGATGTTTATTTCTATTTGAACAATTAACGAGTATTAAATTTTAGAATAAAAGTTTAAGCAATACTTTCCAATTGAAAAATGCTTTATAACAAGTAAAAAAGCTGGAAGTTCGGCCGGGCTGAACTTTGAATACCCTCCACCATTTGGAATGAATTGCAATTCTTAAAAACAATAAAATCCGTTAAAGATTAGGTTAAAATCTTAAAAATACCGAATGTAGCTGTTACATTAGGGTCTATAAGACGACATGGACCTGCATAGGTAACATTTGTCATAAGCCATTACAATATTCAATATAATGTCATAGGCTGTAGTATCCACTACCAACATCAAATACCAAATTTTAAAGAATTCGGATGAATAATGTCGACAAAAAAAAACAGTAAAGAAAGTCTTAAAGTCGGTCGGGGCCGACTTTATGATACCCTACACCACTTTGCTAATTTAGTAGAGCTCCACATAACAATTAAAAGTTTTTATGGGAGAATTCAATCATACACGCTATGATTATAATTATAATTTAAAGTTCAAAGGGCTAAATATGCCGAAACATATGTATCTTTCAAATTCGGACTTGTATTGCCCATTTGGTACACAATTAACTTGAAATCGGATAAAGATATATATAGGAGCTATATCCAAATCGGAACCGATCTCGATAAAATTTGGCAAAGATATTTCTGAGCTGTATTTGATATATTTCCTTGAATATCGTTGTTACGGAGTGCATATTACGGCTATGGGTAACAAATATGACAAATCGGATGAACAGTATATATGGGACCTATAGCTATATCTGAACCGATCTTCACCAAATTTGACATACTAGACTACAGCTTCAATTCGGTCGTAAGTGCCAAATTTCATCTAATTTGGGCAAATATTAGACGTTTGGTGCACAATCCAAGGTAAATCGGACGAAGTTATATATGGGAGCTATATCCAAATCTGAACCGATCTCGATCAAATTTAGCAAATGTATTTCTGAGCCGTATTTGGTATATTTCCCAAAATATTGTTGTTACAGAGTGCATATTACGGCTGCGGAGGACAAAAATAACAAATCGGATGAACAATATATATGGGAGCTATAGCTATATCTGAACCGATTTCGATCAAATTTGGCGTACTTATTTTCAGGTTCAATCTGATCGTACGTGTAAAATTCCATACTATTCGGACTGATATTACACGTTTGGTGCACAATAAAAGGCAAATCGGACGAAGATATATATGGGACCTATATCTAAATTTTGACCGATTATCCTTGGGCCAAAAAAATGATTTGTGCAAAATTTCATCTGGATAGGGCAATAAATGCGAACTGTACTTTGTTTACAAAAATACATGCACAGACGGACGGACGGACATGCATAAATCGACTCAGAATGTGATTCTATGCAGATCATCAAAAGGAACTATGGGTCTATCTCGTTTCCTTTTGCCTGTTACAAACAAATGCACAAAGACATAATACCCTGACAACCATGTGGTGTAGGGTATAAAAAGTTCTGAATATCGAGAGGTACCGTTATATGGGGGCTATACGAAGACGTGGACCTGTACAGACAATTTTCTGTCTTAGGCTGTAGTATTCATTACGAACTTCAAATACCAAATTTGAAACAATTCCGATAAATATTGTCGCAAAAATCATCAAAATACCCAATATCGGGAGGTACCGTTAAAAATGTAGGGAGATCCGTTATACGGGACCTATACGAAGACGTCATTGGAAATATTACCCATTGTGAAGTCCTAATTCCAAATTTAAAATGATTCCGGTGAAAAGTGGAGCTTAGATCTACATAATACCAAATGAAGTGTGGTACCACAATATTCGGGGGTAATACGAAGACGAAACAATATTCGTAGATAAGCCATTTTCTGTCATTGGAGGGTATATCTCCTACATCTTCACACCTCATATTTGCTAAGAAAAATATTCGGACGTATGAAGTTTAAAGAGAATCGGATGCTTATTTTGCATTTCATGATAGATAGAATAATTCAAAATTTTGACCCTTTGTGGGGCAGGTATCAGAGGGAGTGGACCGATATCTTCAATCTTCATAAGTTAAGTTGTTTTAATAGAAATATTGAGATGTGCCGAATTTGAAAGGAATAGGATGCATATTTTGCGTTTTACGACTGTTATGGCTATTCAAAATTTTGAACCCCTGGTGGGGGATGTGCCAGAAGGAGTGGCCAAGTGGAGTAGCCGACATAGCCAAACATCACCTAAGATGTTATGTAAATAAGTATATTGAGATATGTGAAATCGGAATAAAATTCAAATTTTATACCAGTTAAAATTGTTTCAAATATTGACCCTTTGTGTAGGAGGTACTTGATAGAATGGGCCGATATTTTTGCGCATTTGACCTAGCATTGATACAAAAAAATCGGGATTTGCCAAGTTGCGCTAAAAAGAATTAGTCTTTCACTTTTTATGAGGCAATTTTGTTTTTTCTTTTTTAAATTTTGACCTTTTGTGGTACTATGGTATAGTAGCCCCCCATAGGGAGTGGGCCGATGATGCCCATCTCCGAATCAAGTTTGGACCAAATCGGATACTAATATCGACAGTTATCGTGCGCACCAGTCAGGCAGACATACACCTCAAATCGAATCCAAATGTCCGGAAACGGATTTGGTCCAAAGAGACCTAGGGCCTAAGACCGTTATATCGATGAGGTACGTTTTTAGCCATATGGCTGATTATATAAAAAATTACCAAAATCTTTAAAATATCAAATATGTGGAGGATCTTTTATCTTACCTTATTTGATTCAAAATTTAGATTTTTTTTTTAATTCACCATGGCCAAATGTGCAAATACTTCAATCGAAAAAAAAAATTTAGGATTATTTGAAAATATTGCTGAAAACTATGTGTCTTGCTTAAATTGTCAACTTTAATACTCACAAACATTCGATTCGCAATTTGTTTCAATTTGGTCTGTAAAACTTGACAAAAGCTAAAGGTTTTTAATTACAATGCTCACAGACAGGGGCTGTGTATGTATGCGTTATTTTCTACATTACTCAAATAAACTTTGGCTTAATACGGAGTAATGTTGCTTACCTTGGAATGGATTGAACAAAAAAAAAACTCCCACATCATACACTGGGGACCATGAAAACAGAAAAGTTATCTTTTTGATGGTCGTACAACATCATCAACATGGTACGAATGAAGTTTTAATGATTACAAGGAAAACAATAAATCGGCTCGGAAGAGTAGAGGCGGCAATACCCAAGGATTGCAATATTGAAAAATTACAGAGTGAGATAAAAAAGCTGCAACAAAGCCAAACGCCATAATTTTTAAATTTTTGTTTTTTTTTTTTTTTCAATTTTATTGAATGAAAGCAAAAAATGTCGGAAATTGAATAAGTTTATATTTGTACGAATTGGTCACCTTTGGCACGAATTATGCCCTTTAAACGGCCAATGAAACCATCACACGCTACCCGAATATTGCTCTGCGGTATTTTGGCTAATTCCCGGCGAAGTGCTTGCTTGAGGTGATGGGCGCTTTGGTATTTTTTAGTGCCAACGTTGCTTTCCAAAATACTCCAGACACAATAGTCCAACGAATTGGTATCCGGAAATTTTGGTGGCCATTGTGCGCTGGAAATGAAGCGAGTAACCTCATTTCGTAACATTCTTGGGTGGCGCGTTGGAATGTCCAAGGTCTGCGACCAAAAAGCTTTAATACACCCTCCAGAATATTTTCGCAATAATATTCGGCATTTTTTCTAATGCCACTGTCGATAAATACAAGCGGAGAGGGACAATCGGCTGTTATGGCGGCCCACACCATCACCATGGCCGACGCTTGAGTTCTGGTGGCCAACCGAAGGTGCACATTTTCAGCTGATCTCTTTGGCAAGTAAACACGATCATTTTGTTTCTTTACAAGCTGCAGTTTTTGGAATTTTTGGCTAATTTTTCAATATTTGCCGAATGGAATATTGCGGTTTCGATCAAGTCGTTTCATTACTTTTCGAACCATTTCTGGTTATGTTGCCGTTTTTTTTTCCGTCCACTTCCTTGACGTCGGTCTACACTACCAGTATCACGGTAACGAGCGATGGTACTAGATTCATTCTCATTTAAATGCTGGAGTGCTCTAACGATAGCCACTTGTGGTTTTCCAGCCAAATATAAAGGAATCACACTATCACGCTTGAATTCCATCACGAATAACTTTTTTTCTGGAAAATTCTCACCAAAATGCTTTTGTACGCTTGTAAACAATATAATGAGCTGTCACTTGAATAATTTTAACAGCTGTCGGACGAGTGGCATAGAAATTACAGCAGTTTGATATTGGTTGCAGTTTTTTCCTCTCACCCTGTATATTCAAGGAATGTAATATTAAAAAATTAGTTTTTCTGAGGCTTCTCGAATTCTTTCTCAAAAAATACATATTTCTTTGAAGGCTTGAACTTCCTAAAAGAAAAAACACATCGAATTTCAGATGAACTGGTTGGAAATTGATGTAAAAACCTTCTAAATATCGAAAAGGTAGCACTGTATGAAATCTATTCCAAATAGCGGAATTATATTGAATTATTGCGATAGGAATGAAATTACTCACTGAGAACCTCGGAATAATATTGATGCCTGTGCAGTGATAAATCGACCGTGCTTAACAGAATTTTATGCTGATCAGGGACTTATGTAAATTATGAGGTTTCTGAAATTGAACCAAGTAAAAAAGCAGTAAGTTCGGCCAGGCCGAACTTTGAATACCCTGCACCATTTGGAACGAATTAGGAAATTAAAAAAAAAAAATAAATAAAATCCATTAAAAATTTTCTTAAAATTGTAAAAATACCGGAAGGTCCCGATATATGTGGGATATGGACCTATATAGACAAATCTACTTCTGGGGGTAAAGTACTCACAGGAACTCCTTCTGTAAAAATTCAGACAATTCCCTTGAAAAATGTGGTAAAATCATTAAAATACCGAATATCGGAGGGTACCGTTATATGGGGGCTATACTATATCGCGGATCTCTTTCAGGGGGTAAAGTACCCACAAAGAATAGCTTGTCTAGAATTTCAGACAATTCCATCGAAAAATGTGGCTAAAATAATCAAAATCCCAAATCGCGGGGGGTACGATATTATGGAACATATTCGAACATAACCTGCCTGCAGACAAAAGACAGACCTGTGCAAAATTTTAGATTCCTATTCCTATTCGATTTGACTGTAGCGTGATAACAACAGACGGGCAGACGGACGGACGGACAGGGCTAAATAGTCTTAGAATTGTACGCTTTTCAAGAAAATATGTACTTTGTGGGGTCTAAAATTATTATTCTATGAGTTACAAACGGAATGACGAACTTAATATACCCTCCATACACTGTATGGTGAAGGGTATAAAAATGGTAACTAAAATCGTGTCCGATGTTGCACTACTGTGCTTCGAGTCTTTAAAAATTTCAATCTAATTTTTGTTTTCTTCAAAAATTCAAGATCAAATCTCTCTACAACATATCCTCTTTACATTTAATTACTACCAGATGAGATGAACCCTACTTCTTTTAATTTTCATTTGCAACTTTCATTATACACCAATCTATTATCAACATGTATATGTATATTTCTTTTCCATAGTCAATAGATAGATTAATGTGTTCTCCCCAGAGAAAAGCAAAAAAAAAAAAGAAACTGAAAAACACGAACGAGAGAAAAAAAAACAATGCATTTCAAATTAATTACTGAACAAATATGGTGTGATCTTCCCCTTGGACTGCATATCGAACTCTATACCCACACACATACATACATGCCTGTATGTCCTTTGTAATTATCTGCTGTATACACCATGACATTGTCGCATGTCGTATTAATCACTGCAAATGTCTTTGTTCATATCTGAAATGAGCGTATATGTTGATTATCAGACATAGATATGTTACATTTTGTCTACATGCATACATACATAGGATATATATAAACAATGGATAAAAAACGACATAATAATGATTACGATGTCGAGCACTGAAGGTTGTGTTGGACGCTGCTAATGACATTGTATCAACATCATGCCGTAGTACATCCAACATAAACTCTTATTAGTCTTAAAAGCTTTTCAATCAAAAGTAAACAAAAGAGAATTACATACATATATATGCCAGACAACAAGCCAGCTATATGTAAAATGATACTAGCTACATACATGACGACTAAATAATGTAATGTTCAAGGTATGCCCGAATGTAAATGAGAATTAACGTAAAGCAGCTTTTCGTTGCAGCGGACATTTGTTTTATCTTACGTGTCTAGAACATCAGGATAATAAGTCTACAGTATTTATCAAAGTATCTATGTATGTTTTATACTTATCAATGGTAAATCCGATAAAATATATTAGTGTTGGTCGGACTATGTTTATGGTATACTCTGAAAACTTTTTATATCCTCCGTTTAAAATTCCACCAAACATGCAAATGTGTCCCCAAATATATGCATATATTTCAGTCAATATCAAAATAAGAATCTATTTTGATTTAGACATGGTGTCCATCAGCGGAAATCGCTCTTGCTTCCGAGCAAAATTGTAGGCTTATAAAATGCCACCCAAATATAATAAGCGAATATAATAATATATTGTGTCTGCAGGACATCTGGTATTGAACATGGGTCATGAAGGTCCACGATTTTGTATAGCCCCCATATAATGGTAGCTCCCTATTTTCGGTATTTTGATGATTTAAGCGACATTATCCAAATTTTGGCATTTGAAGTTCGTAATGGATATTACAGCCTATGACAGAACATTGTCTGTGCAGGTCCACGCCTTCGCATAGCCCCCATAAAACGGCACCTCCTGAAATCCGGTATTTTGATGATTTTAGCGACATTATTCACGGTAATTGTTTCAAATTTGTAATTTGAAGTTCATAATGGATATTACAGTCTATGATAGAAAATTGTCTGTGCCGGTCCACGTCTTCATAGAGTCCCCATATAACGGTACTCTTGCTATTCGGTATTTTGATGATTTAAGCGACTTTATCCAAATTTGGTATTTGATGTTCGTAACGGATATTACAGCCTATGGTAAAAAATTGTCTGTGCAGGTCCACGCTTTCGCACCTCCCGAAATTCGGTATTTTTATGATTTTAGCGACATTATTCACCGGAATTGTTTCAAATTTGTTATTTGAAGTTCGTAATGGATATTACAGCCTATGATAGAAAATTTTAAGTTTCGCATTTGATTTTTTTTATGCGTTAAGGCAAAGGATAGAAAGTCAGGTCCACGTCGTAGTATATAACGGCTGCATTCGTTATTTTTAAGATTTTAACAGAATTTTTAACAAATTTGGGTCCGGCCGAAATAACAGCTTTTTTACTTGTTTTTTCTTGTTTTTTTTTTTTAATTCGCTATTGTGCTTGTAACTTTCGAATACTGAACCTCGACACTTATAGATATATTTTTTCACTTAAATGTAATTTTTATACCCTCAACCATATGACTACAGAGGGAAAATGCTTTGATCTAATATATTTTGTACCTTAGGCATATTTCAACATTTCCCAAAAATTATCTCATATCTCATATAAAGTAAAGGTCGATAAAGTTCGAATCGGACACGTGGTAATATACATACATAAATGAGAAGTGCATAATATTTGTCCACTCCTTCTGTATCTCCTCCGTGAAGGGTCAACATTTTGAATAATCATAATGTTATATCAGACATAGGCTGAGTGTATGCATCTGTCGGCCAGATTTAAACATATTTTTAGGAACTCTCAAAATTTTTATTGTGCACGAAACGTGTAATATCAGCCCGAATAGTATGGAATTTTGCACATACAACCAAATTAGGCCTGAAAATAAGTATGCCAAATTTGATCGAAATCGGTTCAGATATAGCTATAACTCCCATATATATTGTTCATCCGATTTGTTATTTTTGTCCTCCGCAGCCGTAATATGAACTCTGTAACAACAATATTTGGGGAAATATATCAAATGCAGCTCAGAAATACCTTTGCTAAATTTTATCGAGACCGGTTCAGATTTGGATATGCTTCCATATATAACTTCGTCCGATTTACTTTTTATTGTACACCAATCGTCTAATATTTGCCCAAATGGGATGGAATTTGGCACATGCGACCGAATTGAGTCTAGAAGCTAGTATGTCAAATTTGGTGAAGATCGGTTCAGATATAGCTATAGCTCCCATATATATTGTTCATCCGATTTGTTGTATTTGTTACCCACAGCCGTAATATGCACTCCGTAATAACGATATTCAGGGAAATATATCAAATACAGCTTAGAAATATCTTTGACAAATTTTATCGAGATCGGTTCAGATTTGGATATAGCTCCCATATATATCTTTATCTGATTTCAAATTAATTTTGCACCAAATGGGCAATACAAGTCTGAATTTTGAAAGATACAAATGCTTCGGCATATTTAGTCCTTTGAACTTTAAATTATAATCATAGCGTGTATGATTGAATTCTCCCATAAAAACTTTTAATTGTTATGTGGAGCTCTACTAAATTAGCAAAGTGGTGTAGGGTATCATAAAGTCGGCCCCGCCCGACTTTAGGACTTTCTTTACTGGTTTTTGTTTGGAGAATTGAATTGGCTAGAAAATATCTCCTTTCGATTAATGTGTATTTTTAATAGAATTTAATTTGACATTTAACAATTTTCCTCTTAATTACAGATTTATGATTGGCCAATATATAACAGTTCACGGTGATGTCATCAGTCATGTAAATATCACACATGTCATGGTCGAGGATGGTGGAGAATATTCATGCATAGCTGAAAATCGGGCTGGGCGTGTTCAGCATTCAGCCCGTTTAAATATCTACGGTAAGTAAGACTTTAATATACCTTCCGGAATATTTTCGCGATTATATTCGAAATTTATTTAATACACCTTCCGGAATATTTTCGCGATTATATTCGAAATTTATTCTGATGCAAGCGAGAGCGACCATCGGCTGTGCGCCGAAGGTGCACATTTTCAGCTAACCTCTTTGCAAGTAAACGCGATCATTTTTTGTTTACAAACTGCTGGACAACAAATGTTTTCTCATTGGAGAATACAAAATTCGGCAGTTCACGAAGCGAAGCAACTCTTTAGCTCTTTTGCGTCTATTTTCTTTCTGTTGCGGTGTTAGTTTTTACACTTTTTGGAATTTCAATGGCTTTACCCCGAGCTCATTTATCAATATTTACCAAATGGAATATTGGAATATGTTCAAGCCATTTTTCGGCCACTGCCACGCGGGCTTCGGTCAAGTCGCTTCTTTACTTTTCGAAAAATTTCTGCTGATGTTGCTGTTTTCTTCCGTCGGGCAACGCTACCAGTATCATGGTAACGAGCGATGATACGAGACACAAAAAATCTATCCACATTTAAATGCTGGAGCGCTCTAGCTATAGCCAGTTGTGGTTTTCCAGCCAAATATCACACTATCACGCTTGAATTCCATCACAAATTACTTTTTTCTGGAAACTTCTCACCAAAATGTTTTTGTACGCTTGTAAACAATATAATGAGCTATCATTGAAATAATTTTAACAGCTGTCGGACGAGTGGCTTAGAAATGATAGCAGTCTGAAGTTGGTTGCAGTTGTTTCATCTCACCTTGTAATACTGATAAAAGTAATTGTAGGTGCAACATATTATAAGAGATATAATTATTCAAAGTGTTGATCCTTTGGTTGGAAGGTACCAGAAGGAGTGTACAAATAAATTCCATCTTCACACCTGGTTTTGTGACGATAAAAATATAGGGATGTGCAAGGTTTAAAAATAATTGGACGCTCTTTTCGCATTTTATGAGCTTTATGACCCGTTGTGGGGAAGGCACCAGAAGAAGTGGACCGATATGTCCCATCTTCAGACATCTTGTATTAATAACAAGTTAAAAAGCAGTAAGTGCGGCCGATCCGAACTTCGAATACCCTCCAGCATTTGGAACGAATTTGGAAATTTTCAAAAAATAAAGTCTTTAAAAAATTCTGTTAAAATTTCAAAAGTACCGAATATAGCCATTATATTGGGGTCTATACGACGTTTACCTACGACGTTTACCAAATATGCTTTGTTTGTCATAAGCCATTACCATATTCAAGTTCGAAAGTTGAAATAAACGGTGAATAATGTAGCTAAAATCATCAAAATACCGAATTTTGGGAGGTGCCGTTATATGTGGGCTATACGAAGACGTGGACCTGCACAGACAATTTTCTGTCATAGGCTGTAGCATCCATTACGAATCTCAAATACCAAATTTGAAACAATTCCGGTGAAAAATGTCGAATATCGGGAGGTACTTATTAAAATACCGAATATCGGGAGGTACTTATATATGGGGGCTATATGAAAGCGTGGACCTACATGGGCCATTTACGAACTTAACCTGCCTACTAGAAAAATAAACACGTGTGCAAAATTTTAGTCTTCTATCTCAATTTGTTCGAAATATAGCGTGATTACAACAGACAGACAGACAGGTAGACAGACAGACGGACATAGCTAAATCGACTTAAATTTTACGCTGATCAAGAATATATATACTTTGTTGGGTCTGACATGAGTATTTCGAGGAGTTACAAACGGAAGGACAAAGTATAAAAATATTGGAGTCATTGAAGCCAATCGGAAGGTTTTTCTCACATTTTATGAGAGAATTAATTTGCCAATTTTTTTACCCTTTGTAGGTGTGGTGTCAGAACTATTGAGCCAATATGTACCATCTTCACAACAGATCTTCTATTGACTGTTTGTGTGTTTTATGAAATTCATTGTTATTCAAAATTTTGACCCGATGTGTGAAATTTGAAGATAACCGGACTCTTATTCCACATTTTATTAGAGTTTAGGCTATTTCGGCCGTATCAAATGAAATATATTCTCTGTAGCCATATGGTTGAAGGTATAAATATCAGGAATATGGGTAAGAGAATGTAGTTAAGGCATTCCAAATTTCGTAAAGTGGGCCGTGGAATAACATTTAAGCCTTCTATTACTTCGAAAAATATCGTGATTACAACAGATAAACGAAATTCGCTAAATCGACTTAGAGTTCAATGCTGATCAAAAATATATACATCTTGTTTGGTGTAATATCCCATACCTAGCACAAAATTGTGTTTATCATGTGAACTTTAAAAACCAAAAATTTTATATTTTAAAAAATTCTTAAAGAATTAAAAAAAAACTATTTTTAAGATATTTTTTTCCGAGTAACGAAACACTTATTTTATCTTTCAGGTCTTCCATATATTCGCATTATTCCAAAAGTCACGGCAGTTTCCGGAGAAACCCTGAACCTTAAATGTCCTGTGGCTGGTTATCCCATCGAAGAGATTCACTGGGAACGTGGTGGACGAGAACTGCCCGATGATATACGACAACGTGTGCAACCGGATGGATCGTTGACCATAACTCCGGTACAGAAGAATACCGATTCAGGCGTCTACACATGTTGGGCACGCAACAAACAGGGTCACAGTGCTCGACGTAGCGGCGAAGTGACTGTTATTGGTTAGTATTTGCATTATCATCGAATATATCTGGTGTTTTATATAAATTGGATACAATACTGCGTCCAATATACCTAAGGCAATTCGTAATAAATAATATTTAGCCATAAATAGCGGACCTACATCTCTTTGGATGAGTACATCGACGTAGAGGACACCAAAACGAAGGCCATTTCAATGTGCTCCCCACAGTTGTACCACCTACCCATAAAGCTGCGCTTTTGTTTGCATTTTAATTAATTACATTTTCTGTTTCGTTTTTTTTTTCATTTAATTTGCATTTTTGACGTGCTTCTAAATTTGCATAAACAAATGGAAAATGTCATTTGCAATCGCCAGAATTTAGTTCAATGATTTTTCTGTTATTTTTGTTGTTGTTATTTTCATCATCATCATTTGTTACGCTTTACTGCTTCACTGCTACTTTTATAACCAAAAAAACCCGTATATCTCGTACAATACATTCAATTCACAGTACCGCCGAAATTGAGTCCTTTTCAATCGTCACAACTGCAATTAAACATGGGCGACCGAGCATCGTTGACCTGTTCCGTTGTCAAGGGTGATTTGCCGCTGACGATGTCATGGCGCAAAGACAATCGGCCCATCGACGCCACCCAGCACATGTCCGTCAAGCAGGTGGACCAGTACAACAGCATTCTGGTCATTGAGAATCTAGGCTCCGACCATACGGGCAATTATTCGTGTGTGGTGCGCAATTCAGCAGCTGAAGTGGAAAACTCCCAGTCGTTATTGGTTAATGGTAAACAAATGAATCTGTCAACAAAATGACATTGTTCTCTACTATTGTTTTGTTGTTATTCTTTTTGTTTTGTTGTATTCTCCACCTATGTATGTACTACAATTATTATGAAGACTGAATCGAATAACCAGTGTTCACTTTGTTCAATACGTTTTTTGAATTAACTTTTTTTTTGTTGTTATACACTATATATACTCGATGTAGGTAGATACAAACATACATGTGTATTTATGAATACATGTGTATGTGTAAATATACATTTATTTTAATTATTTGTATATACATATATTATGTTAAATGGTTTTGAAATTAAAATTAATGAAAGAGTTGTATGAACAAATTAAATTGTTTTTTTTTTCTGGCCCTCTTACAATTGATACAAATTCGACATTATCATAAGAACCGTACTCTATTCTCTAGATTACCTTTTTTTATGGATATAAGTTTATCTAAATTAAATCTTATAAACAATATCTGGTAGGACTTTGAATATTTAAATTTAAGGTGAACCGATTTAAAATTTCAATACCAATGTACATCATAAATTTCAGAAATATGACAAATCGTCTTTGAATTTCATTTTGACTAAAATACATGTAATTAATAGGATCTGATAGAGAAGGATAAAACATTACAGAAAGAGGATGCTACTTCTCCAAGTATCCTTTTCGTCAGTTTTCTCTGTTATACTATATTGTCGACAGTCGATTCGACATGTTCGGATTAATATAGTATGTTAAGTGACAGAAATGTAGAAGTCGCTTCGACGTGTTCAGGTTATTGTAGACGGCTTGGTGTATTCGGGCAGATGAAGTCGGCTTTATAATAAAAAATTACGTTATAAAATTTGCCACAAATCATCAACGTACCGAATATCGGCTGATATAGTTATATGAGGGATGTGCGAAAACGTAAACCTCAAATTGGTACCGAATGTGATTCAAATACCAACTTTGAAAAATTCCATCGAACAGTGTGTGTAAAACCATTAAAAATTCCCAAAACGGGAGGTGACATTATGTGAGTTCTTTTTATGATACCCTACACCACTATGCATATTTAGTAGAGCTACCCGTTAAAATAAACATTTATATTGGGAATTGATGTGAAGTGGATCTTACCTATTATTAACCTTATTTAAATGCGTATTATAGCTTTAGAGCAGTTACCATTTCGAAAAAGGAACTAATGCATGGTACGGATATACGTCTAAAACTACTCTCAATCGATTGCCAACAAATATGACGAAACCAATTTCATTTTTAGAGTGCATGATATCACTTTGAGAAGGATTATATTTAAAAATATATATCGAGCAATACATGTGTGGGAACCGAGTTCCACCAAATTTGTCGTATTTACCTCCAGGGTATTTTTGGTTGAATATGCCAAAAATCCATTCAATTTTTTTATTTAAGCTGAATCCAAATCTGAACCGATGTCGATAAAATTTGTCCAAAATCTTTTTGAACTGTATCTGATATCTGGTATCAAATATTATTGTTGTGAAGTGTATATTAGGAAAGTGAAGGACTTAAATACCGAATCTGATGAGATATAAGTTGGTTAGACAAGGCACGGTCGACGAAGGGGTTTTTGTTGTAACAGACAAAACCAACTTACATGGTTATGCTACTTCGTTCAGGTTGAACGAAAGCATAACAAGTGGAGAAAGACGTAAATGTTTATAAGTGCGGTTGTAAGATTTAGAAGACTTTCCAAAAGAATTTTAGTTTTATTTAATTCTTTGGTTCCTCTTCTATTGAGCTTACGATCTCGTCACTTGGGTAAAAAACGTGTTTTGTCATAGAAGTTATTTTTAAAATAACTTCTGGGGAGAATATCCCAGACAAAAAAAACAAGGGAATTGATGAGGATTGGCTCTTTCCGAAACCTAGGTATTCCCTGCCTTACCCCCTGGTAAACATTACCATCGCTCTCCACTAATAAACAGACGTTGTTTTTATAAAAACAACAAAAAAAAAGGGATAAAGCCTGACCATTTTGCAACTAAAAAATACTACGGTATCCCGAACAAACAAGCCACACTATTCTTTTTTTAATTTTATTGAAGGAAAACAAAAAAATTTCGGAAATAGCATCAAATTTTAGAATAACTTTAGATTTGTTCGAAGTAGTCACCTTTGGCACGAATTATGGCCTTCAAACGGCCAATGAAACCGTCACATGCTGCCCGAATATTGCTCTGTGGTATTTTGGCCCTTTCCCGGAGAAGCGCTTGCTTGAGGTGAACGACACTTTGGTATTTTTTAGTGCCAACCTTGCTTTTCAAAATACTCCAAACACAATAGTCCAACGGAATGGTATCCGGAGATTTTGGAGGCCATTGTACGCTAGAAATAAAGCGAGGAACATCATTTTGTAACCATTCTTGGGTGGTGCTGAGTTCTGTTGGAATATCAAAGGTCTGCGGCCAAAATGTTTGCGTGCTTTAATGCACCCTCCAGAATATTTCCGCGATAATATTCGGCATTTATTCTGATGCCAAAGTCCATTTTATAGCGGAGAGCGACCATCGGCTGTAATGGAGGCCCACACCATTACAATGGCCGGCGCTTGAGTTCTGGTGGCCAACCGAAGGTGCACATTTTTAGCTGACCTCTTTGGCAAGTAAACAAGATCATTTTGATATTTACGAACTGCTGGACAACAAATGTTTTCTCATCGGAGAAAAACAAATTCGGCAGTGCATTACTTTCGCCCAAGCGAAGCAACTCTTTAGCTCTTTTGATTCTATTTTCTTTCTGTTGCGATGTAAATTCTTGCACTCTTTGGAATTTCAATGGAATGGAATATTGGAATATGTTCAGCTCTCGAGCCCTTTTTCGGCCACTGCGACGCGGGTTTCGATCAAGTCGCTTCTTTACTTTTCCAACCATCTCTGCTGATGTTGCTGTTTTCTTCCATCTACTTCCTTGACGTCGGGCTACGCTACCAGTACCACGGTAACGATGGTACGAGACACAAAAGATTTATTCACATTTAAATGCTGGAGTGCTCTAACCGTAGCCACTTATAGTTTCCAGCCAAATATATAGAAATCACACCATCACGCTTGAATTCCATCTCACCGAAATGCTTTTGTACGCTTGTAAACAATATAACGAGCTCTCACTGGAATAATTTTAAGAGCTGTCGGACGAGTGGCTTTCAAATGACAACAGTCTGAAGTAGGTTGCAAAGTCTGCAGTTTGTATTGGGTCCAGGATTAAGAGTCGGATTCAAGCACTAAAATTTGCTCACTCCGAGGGAATTTTGATGTAATACCAATGTTTTATACCCTCAGCCATATGGGTAGAGAAGCAATATGATACGACCTCGTTGCACCAAATCCGTTTGAGGACATTCGGTGTCGATTTAGGAATGCCCGTGCGTCTGTCTGTCTGTCTGTTTGGCTGGTACGCACGATAACTATCGGAGAGAGTATCCCCTTTGATCCAATCTCGGTACATTGTAATATTATTGTCAAATTTAAATCGAGTTCTGATACCTTCCCAACAAAAGGTCAAAATTTTTACAGAAAATAAGTTACCTTATACAACAAGAAAGGAAAATGCACTCCACACAATGATATTTGGTGCAAGCTATAGGTTATAGCATTGAAATAAATCTGTTAATTTTATAGAGATCGGTTCAGATTTGGATATAGCTCCCATATAAGTCTTCAACCGATTTCAAGTTCAATGTACACCAAAAGTGGAATATCAGCTCAGATAGAATGGATTTTGGGGAAAATCGGTTTAGATACAAGTGCCTCCTTAAAATTTAGTGGAAACAGTTTCAGTATAGAATATAAGTCCAATATATTAGTTATATTCGATTTCAAATTGGAAATGTTCTTAAATCACAATACGCTTCAGAAACGATTATGGTTGATATGATCTGCTTCACATAGATTATCAATATAAACGTTTATTTGTTACGTGAAGCTGTAGTAAAGGTTCTTAGTTGTGTAGGGTACCCGATTTTCTATTTTATACTTTAAATTGTTTATACCCTCCACCATAGTATGGAGGAATTGTTTTAAATTTAGAATGAAATGGATGCTACAGCCTATGACAGAAAATTGTCTGTGCAGGTCCACGTCTTCGTATAGCCCCTATATAACGGCACCTCCGGATATTCGGTATTTTGATGATTTTAGCTACATTATTCACCGATTTTTTTAAGTTTCGCATTTGAATATTGTAATGGCTTATGACAAAAGTTACCTATGCAGGTCCATGTCGTCATATATACCCTAATGGAACAGATACATGCAGCATTTTTAAGATTTTAACTGAATTTTTAACGGATTTTATTGTTTTTGGAGAATTGCCAAATTCGTTCCAAATGGTATAGGATATTCAAAGTTCTTCCCGACCGAACTTACCGCTCTCTTACTTGTGTCTTTTTGCACTGAATATATGTAAGGAACAAAACATAACCAGAAATTTGGAAATACTTGTTGTGATAGACGTATTTTTTTTACCCAAACTTGTCATGAGTTTGTCGGCTCCCAATATTGCGCTACGACGTATTTAGACAGACGGACAGGTGGATATATATACAAACTTAGCTGTATCGATATATTTCCTTAATTTTAAATTGCGTTTCAGGAGCCAAGTCAAGAGAACAAGGAATCGAGGACATTTCAATAATTTCTTTTCAGAAACTTCTACTTCAATTATTTCAATTTCAAAACCATTTAAATATTTTTTGAATTTTGTTACACATTTTTAAAACTCAACATTTTGTACACCATAATGTATTTTTGTACTGTCAACCATAGACTGTTGTTGGTATTTTTTCCGTATTCACATGAATGCTTTATTCTACTACTATTTCAAACCTTTTTTTTGTAATTTTAAAATAATATTAAATATTTGTAATCGAATGCACCAATATAACTATAATTAAATATGAGCAAATATATATTCAAACTATTCACCACGAAGAAGCAGAAGACACATGAAATGAAATTTAGATTTTATTTTATTTTTATATTCATAAACAAATTGCAATATTGATTTTATTACAAATTTGTACAATTCTCTCTCTCTCGTTCTCGTTTTTATTAATTCTATCTACACTGTTATATAATATTATATACAACATACATACACAAAATTTCATATGTGTTGTGACTAAATTTATTCATGTAGTTGATTACATTTTTTTCCTTATATGTAATTTTATACGTTTTGTTGGTTTTTTATTTTATTTTTTTTGTTATAAAATTCAATATATTCAGTTAAATGGCAATGGCAAAAGAATCTGCCACAACCTATATTTATATCTTTTTTTAACACACATTCACAAATATAGATAGATACATATATATATTTATGTGTAAATACACTATTTTTCGCATACATAATTAAATGAATCGAAAACCAAAACCACTGCGAAGATTTATTTATTCAGGCCAAAAAATAAAAAAAAAGAAAAGCTTTTTGTGGAAAAAATACATTTTTTTCAATTATAAACACATACATACGTTTGACAATCTGTAACGAGTTTTTGAAAGCGCTGCAGTAAAAAAAAAACAAGACAGTGTATTTTTATTATAGATTTAATCATAAAGAAAACATATTTTATGTTCCACAGCATTTATAGAGACTCAATTTTCAATCTACGTAATCGATAGCTACGGCGTAATTTGCGGCGGCTTCATCACTCATCATCATCATCATTATCTGCGATCAGCAAAGGGAGCCTTCGACCAGCAAAGTCTGCAATTTCGCTAAAGATTTTACCTCACTTTGGCTTTTTTATTTGGACCAAGTAGAGATTCAGTTGTATATTTTGTTTTTCGTTTCTTTTCTCGGTCTTGTTGCAGTACCGCCGATTATAGAACCCTTCGTTTTTCAAGATGGTCTAGCCGAAGGTATGCGCACACGTACCGTGTGCGGTGTATCACGCGGGGACCCCCCTTTGAAATTGACATGGCTCAAGGACGGTGAGCCATTGCCTGATCTATTGGGCGCCAATGTCACTATGTTAGATCAGTATTCGTCGTTGTTGAGCATACCTTCGTTATCGGCCTCGCATTCCGGCGAATATACATGTGTGGCAAAAAACCCAGCAGCTGAGATCAAATACAACGCCCTATTACAGGTCAAAGGTATAGTATACGATTTGACTCATATTGTCTGTCTCCCTCTCCTTCGAAAACATATTATCCACTTAATTCCCTTGAAAGTTCCCAAAAAGATTTAAAACAAAGTGAATTTTTTTTTTGAGTTTGTTAATTTTATTGAAATACTTTTTTATTTGATTGAAGATCCAATACAGCCAATATAATATTAAAATAAATGAATTTTCATTGAATTGTTTGAAAGATAGATAGGAATATGAACGGATATGGAGAGCACTTTATCTCGATATCAATAATTATAATATTTTTTGTAGATTATAAAAAAAAAGACATTTCCATAGAGCAAATCCGTATATATAGGAAATAAGGCAGAAAAGATGATTCCTCATATACAGGGTGAGGTGAACTCCAACTTCAGACTGCTGTCATTCCTAAGCCACTCGCCCGGCAGCTGTTAAAATAATTCCAGTGACAGCTCATTATATAAATACAAAAGCAATTTGGTGAGAATTTTCCAGAAAAAAATTCGTGATGGAATTCAAGCGTGATAGTGTGATTTCTTTATATTTGGCTGAAAACCATCGTTAAAGCACTCCAGCATTTAAATGTGAATAAATCTTTTGTGTCTCGTACCATCACTCTTTACTGTGATACTGGTAGCGTAGCCCGACGTCAACGAAGTGGACGGAAGAAAACAGTAACATTAGCAGAAATGGTTCGAAAAGTAAAGAAGCGACTTGATCGAAACCCGCGTCGCAGTGGCTGAAAAATGGCTCGTGAGCTGAACATATCGGAATATTCCATTCGCAAACATTAAAAAATGAGCTCGGGTAAAGCCATTAAAAGTTCAAAAAAAAAAATTGACTCAAAAGTGCTAAAGAGCTGCTTCGCTTAGCCGAAAGTGGTGAACTGCCGAATTTGGTTTTCTCCGATGAGAAAACTTTCGTTGTCCAGCAGTTTGTAAACTAACAAAATTATCGTGTTTACTCGCCAAAGAGGTCGGCTGAAAATGTGCACCTTCGGTTGGCCACCAGAACTCAAGCGCCGGCCGGTGTGGGCCGCCATAACGGCTGATGGTCGCTCTCCGCTCGTATTAATCGACCGTGGCATCAGAATAAATTCAGAATATTATCGCGCAAAATATTCTAGAGGGTGTATAAAAGCCTTGGGCACGTAAACATTTTGACCGCAGACCTTGGACATTCCAACTGGACTCAGTACCATCGCACTCAGCACGCGCTTCCTAAGAATGGTTACCAACTGAGGTTCCTCGCTTCATTTCCAGCGCACATTGACCACCAAAATCTCCGGATACCAATCCATTGGACTATTGGCAGTAAAAAAAAATACCGCAGAGCAACATTCGAGCAACGTTTGACGGTTTCATTGGCAGTTTGAAGGCCATAATTCTTGCCAAAGCTGACCAATTCGAACAAATCTAAACTTATTCTAAAATTTGATGCTATTTCCGACATGTTTTGCTTTCATTCAATAAAAATAAAAAAGAAATTAAAAATTATCGCGTTTGACTTTGTTGCAGTTTTTTTATCTCACCCAGTAAAGCCCGTATTCAGCCAGATAGAATAGATATTTTCCTGTATTCAGCCATGCCGAATATATGTTTTAGCATAGGAAAACCTGTACTCTCAGAGCAGGTAGAGCTGAATATAGGTTTTGCCTTATAGGAAACCTAAATGGAAATCTTTATTCTGCCATGCTGAATATATATGTTCCGTATGGTAAAACCTGTATTCAGCCAGGCTAAATATACGTTTTTCCCATAGGAAATCTTATATTCGGCCAGGCTGAATAGATGTTTTCCCCTAGGAAACCCTATATTCATTTAAGCTGAATAGATGTTTTCCCCGTATAAAAACCCGCATTCAGTCATAGATGTTTTCTCCATTGGAAGAAGTTTGTAAAAAAGAAGAATTTATTTCCTAAAGGAATTGTGTCTATAAAAATCTTACAAATGTCTTCGCTTCTATTGAAGAACACCAAAGGGTATTCTGTCCCATAGCAGAATTCATTAAAATTAAGATCTTGCAAAAAATTGTTAACACATTTTGTATATTTAGCTACTTTCCGGAATATTGAGAGATTTAGTTTAAAGTGCGTAATATAAATACATAACTGTCGGTTGCAATTCTCAACAGTTCAATGAAAATTCATTGAAAAAATAATCGAAAAAAATGGCTGAAAATGTTTTGATTTTATTAAAAAAAAATTCCCTTTTTGTACACCCTTTCCATTTTTCTTTTATGATTCTACTAAAGCTTCTTAACAATGCGTCTTGAGTTTATTATGCTTTTGAAATGTTTATTTCTTTCTTAATTTTACTCAAACTTTTCTAGTCTAGAAATATCTAATAACAGTGAATTAAACCAAGTGCTTTCCGTTAAAAATAAAAAAAAAACGAATCCGAAACAACTAACTAAAAATTGTAATAATCAATAAATCGATGTGCTTCTTATGAAATAAAACAAAAACAATAAATTAAACCAAAAAACAAATGTACTGTAAAACATAATTTACTTAAAAAACGCCCCCTTATTTTGAGAACGCTTTAAATATACTCCTACCCCCCCTCTACCGTAACATCCTTAAGTCGCTTTTTGGCACGCTGTGGGTTTTACTTATTAATAACTGCCGATCACCATCAGGTAACCTTTGTTTTGCACTGCTTTAACGCTTCTTATATTTAAGTTTTATATAATTAAAAAAAAAAAAAACGAAAACAAATTGACAAATGAAAATTATTTTACAAAAAGTTACAATATATTTTATTTTTGATTTTATATTAATAATAAAACTGTTATAACGTATGTATATTTTGGAAAATATTGTAATAACCTTGATATTTGAATTTGAGTCGTTCCAAAGATATTCAAGAATAAGTATGTTTTCATGCTTGAAGACCTACACCACTCATGATTTGATCTTACATTCAATGCAATATCTTCTATTGGAAGCCCTTGAAAGTACTATTTAATAGCTGATTTGTAAAATCTGAAAATCCCATTTTTAAGGTATCGAAAAAGTTCTTGCATTTAAAAAAAATACTATGTAGATGGGAATTCTTGTACAGAGAGGTATAATAGAATATTTAAAAAAAAATGATAGATTTATATATATAGTCTTGACATCCTTGAAAATTTACTTTACTATTCAAGCCCTGGCAAAAAAAATCTTTGAAAATGCTGGAATATCAAAAAAAATCTTTGAAAAATTGCTTTCAAAATCCAAAAGTCCACGTGATTTTTTTTATAAATGTAATTTTTTCCAGAAAAATAAATTTATAAAAATTACAGTGTAACTGGGAAACCCTTAAAAATTAAAAAAAAAATAACTCACTGGTTTCGCTTAGCTAGAAAATATTTGTAAAGGATTCATGGTTAATATGCGAAGCACCCACTTAAAAATGGTAAAATTTTTGAGAATTTTTTGGGAATTTTTACTTTAAAAACTTTTTACTAAAATTTAAGCCTAAATACGAAAACGAAGACCGATATACCTCATTTTCCATCATCATCCTAGACCTAATGTAATCAAATGAGGCAAATTTCGAAGCCCTTCATCAAATAATAACAAAGACCTAAAATGGTAAAGACTAGACAAAATGCATTTTGAGCAAAGGGTTTGTGTCTACAATACATAAAGTAACGGCTCATGGCAGAGACATGTTAATATAAAAAGACAATTACAGAAACAGATAACAAATAAAAATTTGATAAATCCAACATTTTGGTTTGAAAATTGTTTTCCATGGACCATTTCGAAAATTTGCACATTGCCTTAGCGGTTTAAACCAGTTAACATTGGTTAACATTGGAGCAAAGAATAAAAATAGGACAATAGAGAGCAAAAATATGGCAACCCCTTGAAAATGTCTCTGTTGTTATGATATCATTTACAACAACATTTTTGATATATTTCACAGGGCATGGAAGTCATTGCAAAATATTAAAAAATTCTTGGACTATTATTTTTGATCTGGAAGTCCTTCAAAAGTATTTCTAAAAAATTACAACGTATATCCCTTGAATAACGATTATAATTTTCGGCCCGCAAAGAATTGGAAAAGTGTACGTGACACATTTTAGCGTCTGGTACAATATTGAAAAAAACTTTTTGTTAACAAAAAAAAAAAAATAAATAAATAAATAAATACTTGAATTACATAGGCCGGAATTCATTGAAAAGTACGAGAAGTCCTTAGCATTTGTTTATACCCTCCACCACATATAGTATGGAGGGTATGTTAAGTTCGTCAATCCGTTTGTAACCCAAGTTCGAAGATGGGCCGTATTGGTCCACGATATCGTATAGCCCCCATCAAACGGAACCCCCGATATTCGGTAGGTTGGTGATTTAGCCACATTTTTCTATGGAATTATCTGAACGTCTACACAAGGAGTTCTTTATGCGTACTTCATCCCGGAATAGAGTTGTCCATATATGTCCACAATATCGCATACCCCCCATACCATTTTAATGACAGTGTTCACCGGATTTATTTTTTTAAATTTCGCATTTGAAGTTCGTAATGGGTACTTCAACCAATGACGGAAAATTCTGTATACATGTCCACGTCTTCATATAGGCACCATATAACGATTAATCGGAATTGTTTCAAATTTCGTAATCGAAGTTTTTAATGGGTACTACCATTCCAAATGGATTTTAAAAGTTCGGCAAGGCCGCTGCTGCTTTTTTACTTGTTTAAATTTACGATAAATATAAGTAAGTACTCAGGCAGGATATACAAGGATATGCTTAGCTACGTATTCAGGCAGAATCTAAAAGAATGGTCAAGAATTCTAGGGATACCATAGGAGTTCAATGATTCAATACTTAGAGACCTAGATAATTACTCTAAAAATGGATGCCTAAGGTTAATTTTAATTTGGTTACTTCCCGTCTAGTTATGTGCTCTTGCTGCCTGTCTTACACTGATTGACTGTCCCAATATGCGATTGTTCTCCATTTTATACTTGGCTCCACCACACGCTTCGTTGTGGAGTAAC